TGTATATGTATATATGAAAATATATGAAAAATGCCATGTGGGTACTCAAATGAAAGCTCTCGATGAGTATAACTTCAAAATGAGTTTATATCTTAGAAAATGTCAATAATTAGGAAATGACATTGTATCTTGTGAACTATTAACATTTTTAAAGATATAAGCTCATCCTGACATTACACTCATCAAGACCTTCCATTTGAGCACCCACATCAATTTTTCATATATTTTATATATTTATATATTTCACAAATACCATATATATAAAATATATGAAAAATGTCATGTGGGTACTCAAACGAAAGGTCTCGATGAGTGTAACATCGAAATGAGTTTATATCTTAAAAAATGTCAATAATTAAAAAATGACACTGTATCTTGTCAACTATTGACCTTTTTAAAGATATAAGCTCACCCTGATGTTACACTCATCGAGATCTTTCATTTGAGTACCCACATCAATTTTTCATATATTTTATATATATATATGTCTATATGAAAAATATATCAAAAATGCATGTGGGTACTCAAATGAAAGCTTTTGATGAGTGTAACATCAGGATGAGCTTATATTTTAAGTTAGCAGTCATAAATAATAAAAAAGCGTCAATAATCGGTGCTTCATTCTTTAAAAAAAAAATCCAAACAAACCTTAAAACTAGCGTCAGATCCGTTGCGATGCTGAAGAGCGAGTGATGCGATGAGTTCATGTTCGTCATTGACATTAGTACTTACACTACCCCAAGAGCGGGACATGGAAGAAGATGGCCGGTGCATTTGTGGAGTAGAAGGCGCTCCACTGGGCGCGGGAGGAGGAGGTTGTTGATGATGCAAATGATGATGATGAAGATGATGTTCCTCGCAGGTGGTAGGCACCGGACCACTGCAATCGATAACAACATCACCGTTTCCATTATTCCCCAAATCTCTGGAGCTCTGACGGCGAGGAGGAGAAGGTGGCCGGCGTTTCGACAAATGTGGGCTGCTCTCCAGCCCGTATGTCAGCTGGTACTTGTTGTCAAAGTCTCGAGGCAGAGATTTGAACTGTCCTGGCGTTGCGGTGACCTGGTCCAACAGCTAAATTTAATTATAACATCCGAGTTTGGAGAAATAAAAAATAACAAGATTTTTTTTACCTTGGCGACGGGTCTCGGACGCACGAGACAGTGTCTGGGTCTAGGAAGAGTGTTGCCACCGGCTTCGATCACCGACTTATCATAGACTTCGTTGGTCGGCGTGACGTCCCCGTCTTCGAAGCACCTCGGCCGCCAATTTATCGTGTCTGCGTGCGATGACGGCGCCGGTGAGGGCGGATAAGTCAGCGGAGCATCCTCGAGACTCTCCAGTGATTTTCCTCTCGGTCCGCGACCCACTGTCGCGTAATCTACTCCAGCGGGCAAAGCCGCGTACATGCTCCTCCAGGGCGAAGACTCGTTCCGCTGGAAAGACCTCAGGACCGGAGACGAGCAGTCCTCGTCCGGCGACGGAAGATCCGAGCCTCCTCGCTGGATAACGACGTCCTGAGTGTGTCCAGGATGCGGAGGAAGTCTTGCTAAATCCAGCGGCTGGATCCTCTTGCCTGCTCGTATGTCCTTAACTCGCTTAATTGCCAGCAATAGCTTCTTCTGGTGACCCAGTCTGACGATACCTATGTCCTCGAGATCCTCCCAAGTTAGAGTCGTGACGTCCTCCACGGATCTCATGCCTTGCTGGTGCAACGCTCCCAAGTACTCCTCCAGTCGCAGCAGTCGTAACCATTCCTCTAATGAGCCGGGTATGTGTTCTGGCAGGCCATCGCCCACGTTCAGATTGTCGATCTCCGCCTTTAGACGCTTTCTATGATTTGGCTTCTTGATACCTAGAAAGTATTTTATTTTTATTTTTTAATTATATTTGGATGTAAAAATTTTTATTAAAATTAGTGATTTGATAATTTTGATATTGAATTTATTAAAAAAAAAATTTATTTAAATTATTAGAACAATTGGATAAGACTGAAAATTTAATTTTTTTTTAATAATAAATGACTAAATTTTTATTTAAAAAAATTATAAGAACTAGCAACTTTGCACTGTACTGTCTTAAATATTGACGTTTTTTAAGATATAAGCTCATCTTGAGATTACACTCATCAAGAGCTTTCATTTGAGTACCCACATGCATTTTCATATATACATATATATAACATATATAAATATATGAAAAATTGATATGGGTACTCAAATGAAAGGTCTCGATGATTGTAACATCGGGATGAGTTTATATCTTTAAAAATGTCAATAGTTCACAAGATACAAGGTCATTTTTTAATTATGTATCTAGAGATAGAAAAAAGAAGAGATTTTTCTAATTTTTTTAATTCTCTTAATAATATAAATAAAAAAAAAAAATTTTTTTCTATTATCAGTCCCAAGATAAAAAAATCCAACACGTGTTTGAAATTAAATTTCCACTATATTACATATTATATCAAAGTCGATTATTATTATTATTATTATTATAATGGTTATTATTGTTAAAGTATCTGTCTACTTGAGCACGATTTATGACCGTGTCTATATCCCGGTAATTTAATACAATCAAGATGTCAATTACCTATAGCTGTGAGGTCCTCGGGGGTCATGCGCGTTATGGTCGCAAGATCATACCCTGCGGAAGAGAAGAGCTGAAAGTACTCCTCGAACTGGAGCTCGGTGAGCCAGGCGTGGACATCAAGATCCGAGGGCCGGTCGGGATGACTTCCCAGCGAGCTAATGGAACACCTCGGCGAGGAGGTGAGAGCGCCTCCGGAGCCAAGTCCTCGAGGGCCCAAGTGGTAGCCTGAAGCTCGTCCTGAGTCCAATGACGCGGTTGAGTGTCTCGACCCGGATCCTGAGCCTGAGCTGCCTGGGCTGTCACGTCCTGGGCTTTGTGTCATGTCGATACCTGCAACACCATCACCGACAATCAGTTTCATTTTTATTATTATTATTTTCATTAATAATAATAATAATAATAATAATAATAATAATAATAATAAAATTTTCGAGCAAAAATTTATTATTATTATTATTATTATTATTATTATTATTATTATTATTATTATTATTATTA